GTCTGTCAGCTGCTCGGCACTCTCCCAGACCATGGAATTTGCCGCAGTTAGGGCACCTCAGAAACTGTCCCTAAGGGGGTCGGTCATCACGCCTCCCGAAGTTCCCTTTCTTTTTTTTCTTTTTGTTCTGATGGTAGTCGGCCTTCCTCTTGACCGAATTAGAACCGGGCGCAACAGCTGAGATAGGCTGAATCATAGGGGTCTTCTGATAGGATGGGACAGCCACCCTCTGGGCATTCTGGCCAACCTCTAACTCGGTGGCTCGGCGAACCATCTCGGAGTAAGGCAGAGTTCCGTGGCCAGTCAGGGTGTAGCAAAGGTCGGGGCGAAGATCATCACGGAATCGAAAGGCCTTTTTCTGGTCGGTATCCACGAGCATCGGGGCAAATGCGCACATACGAGTGAAGTCGCGCTCGTAGACATCCACGGGACGGGGTCCCTGCTTGAGCTCCCAAAAGTCCTTCATCATCTGGGCATGGTGAGCCTCTGGGTAATACTTGTCCTTGACTATAGTAACCATCTGGTCCCAAGTCAATGCATCCCTCTTAGCACGAGGATGAAGCCTCCAATAGTCATTCCACCAAGTCCTAGCATCCCCGGTCATCAGGAACGAGGCACAACGGATTTTCACCTCATCAGTGGTGAACAACAGATCAAAGATACTCTCCAGCTGCTGAAGCCATTCAGCCACAGCTTCGGGGCCCTCAACTCCGCTAAACGCCGGAGGATGCATGTTACGAAAATCGATCACAGCTTGGGTAATGGGATATCTACCCGGAGCATGCTGATGATGAGGAGGAAGAGGCGGGGGAGGTGGTTGCTGCTGATAGTTATTGCGGGTTTGACGAGCCATTTCTCTACATTGAAAAATGAGCCGCAAAGATTTAGCACAAAATGAAAGGAGTCTAGAGTTCGACCCTAGAGTTCACATTTTAAAGGTGGATAAAACCTAACCCCAAATATTAGCAATACTTTTCTCAAGCATATACATCAATACTTATTTAAGACATACCTCAAGCAGTGCGGCAAGACGAAGACGAGTGGTCAACACACAAGATCAATTCACACAATCACTTAATCACATATAAACCAGTCTACAGAAACGCAGACTGGCTCTGATACCAAACTGTAACGCCCCAAAGATTTTTAGAGACAATTTCGGACTTATCCAAAAATCTTGTTTTAAAATTTCGAAAGCATATATCGATTTATAAAACATTTGGCGCTACTTGAGAACTTTCCAAAGTTAAACACATAATCAGCATAAAGGTAACGAGAATATTCAACATAATTCAAGTTCCAAGACTAGATTTCAACATATCTAGCAATAGGATTGTAAACATAATCCAACTGATAAAAATATTCCACATGGTTCAACAGATCAACCAATCCCGAAAGCAATAGGGATGAATAACAAAGTCTGATAATCTCAACATAAGTATCAAAGCAAGCAAAAATAATATAAAGCAATAATAATGTTTGACCACCCACTCGTCTTCAGCCTCGTCATGCCCAACACTTGCTTAACCTGCATCAATGAAGAGCAGGTGGGGATGAGCACAAATATAAACGAGGTGCTCACCACTATGTATAATATATTGGTAAGAAGCCTATACTAGAGTCATATGCAAGTACGTGGTCAAAATACATAACACACCACTCTCCTACTCATCACTATACTCATGTGCACACCTAACAAAAGCCGCCAGGGGTAAGCCCAAACTCGTCAGCGGGAGTACAGTCGTGCCGAGGTTCAACATCAACGGTCACGGCCTATCAACTAGGCTAAAATGAGTCAACCTATCACAAGGTTGGAGATCGCCTACCACTAGGTACCGTCTCATGATTCACACATACATTCATAGAACACAAAGTATAAAAATCTTACCTCAAATATAGCATAACAAATTTTAGATTAAAACCCAACTGGTATTGCGGTAAAATATTGCACACGAAAACAAGCACATAGGTCGAGGGCTCGACTCCTCAAACACCTACATTTAAGCGAGATAATATATCAATAATATATCTCACTACTAGAATTTAACATAAAACCCATACTTAATAAAATTTAAGACTTATGGGTTTCAATCGGATTTTTCGTGGACTTGGAACTCTCTCATTTTTGACAAATATGACTCGGAGGACAAAATTGGGGTCTCAGAACTTAAAATAATTTATTCCAAAATTTTTCTCATTTTTAAATTATTTTTAAAATATAAATCGGTATTAAAAACGGACTCCGGAACACAAAATTAGCTTAAAATACGAATTGGGCTAATATGATAAAACTGGGCCAATAATTTGCTAAGGAATTGGGCTAACACACCCATTTGGGCCGCTCAAACCAAAGGTTGTAGGCTGCGGGCCAGAGCTGGGCCACGCGGGCTCGCAGGCTGAAGGCTGCGGAGATAGGTCGGGCCACGCACAGGCCGCTAGCGGGCTATGAAGCCCGCGCTGCTGATATTAGTATGGTGCAAAAATATATAACAAAGTGTTGCGGGCAGCAAGATTGAACCCGGGACCTCTCACGCCCAGAGCATGAGTCATACCACTAAACTACAGGCACTCCTTGTTTGCTAATTTGCACAGTTGTTTAGATGTACGTTAAAAAAGAACTGCGACTGAATTTGCAGAAACAGAGCTCTGCAGGACAACAAAGTTCGACCAATTTATACAACATCACTCCCAACAGCAATAGGGTTTCGACTACTAAGTAAAGATACGAACGTAACACATACAGTGTTTCGAAATACTTTTAAAAGAAACGAGTTTTGACTCAAAAACAAAACGACTAGAATAACGGTTCGAACTAAACAAAAATACGAATAACAAAACGACAAGGTTCGAACATTAACCCGAGACTCTGAATAGACTTGACCAAAGAAATCACAGCAGCTAATGACTGATACACGTTAAAAGAGAGTTCCACGAGTATCCACGACAAACACGAAAAATCAACAAACAATAACGAACCGAACAAAGATCCGACGATCAGCGAGAATCAATAGCCGAGCATGGTATATATTCAGCGAATAACACGAATACGCAAGAATAAACTGAAAAGGCTCGAAAGAATTTACCCGTCTTCGGGAATTTACGAGAAATCGAGAAACACGGTTCGGAACAAGATGGGACGAACGGAGCCTCGACGGGTCTCAAAACTCTGAACACTGGGACCGCTCACGAACAGTCACTCGCTGGAGGTGGAAGGCTTCGCCGGAGAAAACACCAGAAAGAATGGCAGACGATTGCCGCTGCTATGAACTCCGGCGATGACGGTTTCTGTTGGGGACTCCGGCGATGAGCGGCTGCTCGAAGAAGGGACGTCGACGACAAAGCTCTCGCCGGAGACAATGATGAAGGCAGAGGTTCAAGCGATTAGCAGGTTTTTTTTTCTTGATTTTTTTTTTTTTGAACGATGAATCAGAGAAAGAGGGGAGAAATTGGGGAATGAATCTGATTTTGAAAAGCCCAACTGATAATTAAGTAGGCAGAGAGGGGGAGAACGTGCAGATGGATTTTCTCCCCAAAAATCGCAACCAGTATTTGAAGTAAAGAAGACGACTGGTTCGTGCGCAGATAAGAAGAAAAGCTGCTGGATAAAATGCTTCTTAATGGGCCAAGAAAAAGATCATCTCTTTATCCTAATGGGCCAAGGCAAATAATCATTTTGGGCTACAATTATTAATAAAAGGAGAATGGGCTCAAATTGGTCCAAAGATTAATCTCAAGCTTGATAAGAAAACGCGACAACACGCATTAAATTAAAACCGGACATTATATATATAATACACACAATAATATTATTTAATAATAAGCATTTAAACACATAATAACAATTAGATAATTAATAATATAATAATAATAATAATAATAATAATAATAATAATAATAATAATAATAATAATAATCACATTAGCAAATAATAATAATAAAAAGGGCACAATAATAATAAAGAAAATAAACAATAACACCAATAATCCACAATCGAACGGGGTATTACAATATCGAATCCTTTGTTGGCCACTGACATACTTCCATACATATTAATATAATACCCAATATATCTCTTTATACGATTGTGCTAGCAATCAAAAGGATAAATCAAAGTAAAATATAATATGAACAAAGTTACCATCGTGCC